ATATCAAGGAGGTCGTTTGGAGAACGGTAAGACTAAAAACAACAACTTAAGGTCTGAGGGTGAAGTCGTACTGCTCACTGTAGAGGGGTGTGACAGAAGTAAGGTTTTTCAATCGGACAACCAGCATCTGTAGCGATACTGCCTTCTTAGAAGGAAGGAAGAGGTTTGAAAAGGTTGACTCTAAAAATGTCACGCCCCACCTTATTTCACAGAAACCCTATTACACTTTTTGTCGAGATTGGATCTGGTATATAACGTGAACGCTATGCCCCTTTGGAAACTATTCTTATGAAAACACATTATATTTGAACAATGAACTGCTATCAACTTATATAGATTATAATTACTAAACAAGCTTGCTTGGGATGCATACTGTGAACCGGTATATGTTGTAAATTGTAGATCATGCCTGTAAGAATGGCGTGTACCTGCTAATGCAGAAATATATTATTATTATTATTTCTGTCTCCAACGGTAAGACCCTTTGAAGAATGGAGCTAACACGTCAAAAGCCTCCCACAAAAAGGCTGTGTTTGACCGGCATTAGGCAGTCGTCCCTCGTTTTCTGCGAATCGCCCCCTTCAACTTTCTTTTCAGGTCCCTCAAGAAATACCTTCCCTCGGTGTGGGCAGCCAAGAAGTGATATCGGCCGTCATACCCGTAACTGCACACGAGACCAAGTTAGTCACATTCAAATCCTTCCTACACCTCCTAATAACTCTTTTATCTGCATGACTAACCCTAACCACATCTCTTTATTATCTCACACCGCTAGAGCAAACGATTCCGGTACGCGGAACGTTATTTCTGGTCTCCTGAAACAGCGCTCTAAACTACATGTAGGAGCTTTTAACGTACGAACATTGTGCCAAATAGGACAACAGCCTTCCTTAACTAGGACTGTAGAGTCTCACACCATCTGTGTGATGTGCCTTCGAAACGCATATGCAGAATCGGAGTAGCGTCATTTATTTGAACTCACCATGTCATGTTGAAGGACCACCTCGATTCACATGTCTATCTGGAAGCCTTGATGCTGCTCTACATAGCCTCACTGGTGTAGGTATGGCATTGAGTCCTAGGAAAGAACCAGCTCTTTCAGACTGGACCTCATTAGGCAGTCGTTTGTGCGCTGTCCGACTAAACGGATCAGTAAGGACCCAGAAAGATAGGGACACTTGTCGTTGCCTCTTCGTCGTCTCTACCTACTCTCCCACTGACTGCAGCTAACACGATATAAAAGATGAGTTCTACAGGAAACTTTCTGGCCTCCGAGAAGCTAGGCGTTCTGATTTAGTAATAGTGGCTGGTGACTTTAATGCTCAAGTAAGTAAACTAAGTGAAAGGGAAAGACACCTGGGTGGATCTTATGGTATTATGGCTCAAAGAACAGATAATGGCGACCGTCTGTTGCAGCTATGCTCAGAAAACCGCCTATTTCTTGCAGATACTAACTTTAAGCATAAGGAAAAACATATTTTGACATGACGACCCCCCGAGTGCCTCCCAACGTTGGACCCAATTAGATCACATCAATATCAGCCACCGATGGAGGGACTCGATAGAAAACTGTCGCTCATTCTGGGGCACATGTTTAGATTCTGATCATGCTCTATTGCGGGCACGTATCAGTCTGTGTCTTACCGTACATAGGAAGGACACTGCAAGGAAACCTCTTAATGATGGACAAGCTTAGAATATGTTTCATAAAAAACTAGAAAACAGTTATGCAGCCATGTAAATTGTGCCCACCCCGAGGCAGCGTGAAATGACATCAGAAAAGCTGTGAAAAGGCAGTGATATCTGCTAGTGCGGTAAACTATAAGTCTAGGGAGAAACACTGGATCTCAGCAACTCGAAAACTCATCTTACCTGGCTCTGAACATAACAAAGGGTGGAGTCAGCTTAAGCACAGGCTAATAAGAAGCCTACGTAATGATCGCGAACAGTATTGGGTAGCGATAGCAAGAGAGATAGAAAAGGCAGCGGACATATCATTCATTCTCAACCCAGGAGATCGGGTCGATGGGCGGAACACTTTAGGGACCAGTTCAACTGGCCTTCAGCCACACGTCGGTTTCCCATGATCTTCAGTCGACCTGAATAGCAAGTTAATGTAAATACCCCAAGTGTTTACGAGATTGAAAAAAGCTATAAAAAATCTGAAACGAGGGAAAGTAGCAGGCCCCAACAGGTTTACACCTGACATTTTTAATGATGGTGGTTCAGTACTAGCAGCGAAATTGACTAAGGTCTTAGGTAGAATCTGGGAACTGGACGTAACTCTGTCTGACTGGTCCCAATCACTGATTGTGCCAGTCTATAAGAAAGGATAGAAGTCCTCCTGTGACAATCACAGAGGGATCAGTTTGACCAATATAGTGTCTAAAATATTAGCTTCAATAATACTTGGACGCCTGACCAAATCTCATGAAGAGCAGACTAGAGGAAACCAGGCTGGTTTTCGACCTGGAAGTAGTTGTATAGACCAGATATTCACTCTATGTCAGGTCCTAAAACATAGACACACATTCAGACGTCACACAGTATTATTATTATTGTTCACAAACACCTTATGGGTATATAAGTGCTGTGAAGAAACCAATTCGAGTTTCTTCAAAAATGCAATAATACACAATTTTCAATAATGTTAGCATTACATATGCTATGTTTGAGAAAGGAAGGAAAAGGAAAATAAAATATTTATAATGGAATAGTAATAATAATAGTAATAATAAATCAGGTTCTGCGTAATTGGCAAGAATTTGGAATTGATTTTGAAGGAGAAAAGGAAGAAACTAAGGAAATAGAAATAAAGGAGATGCGGAATACGTAAGTATTATAACGCAGAACAAGAATAAACAACTATTGTATATATCGCAAAATGAGTAATAAAATTAAAATAAAACAAAATAAATTAATAAGTAAATAACTTACTGTTGCGGTAAGATATGACGTTAGAATAAGTGTTTGTTCGTGCAGTCATAGTTTTGGGTGATGCTATGAAAGTCTCAATTAAGTGCAAAAGATAATCAATATGTATGATGTGTATATGCATAGTGAAGATAAAACAAGTCTGATAAGTTGAATTCAGCGTAACACAAGTTATTGTCTTAATCCAAAGCTTCGTAATCTTAAGAATGATATCTATTTGGAAGGAAAAAGAATGAGAGAAAAGAAATGAACAAACAATGAAAGGGTCCAGCCATGATTATAATAGTGTAATGGTTATAGACTTTTGAGATAAACGAATAATTTAATAATAATAATAATAATAACAATAGTAACAATAATAATAAACCTTTACTGCACTCGGATAAATACGTGTAGATTTATGTAACAGTATACAGAGTGAAGTCGGGTATTAATATAAACATTAGTGCAATAGTAATAATAATTTAGAATGATGCTATGATAGTTACAATTAATTGCAAAGGATAATTTAAATCTAAATTTCTATATGTTATGTAGTACATGACCTTAAGGCTGCATTTGACTCCGTTGATCGTGAGGTTCTATGGCGGTATTTGTCAGTGAAAGGAGTACCAAAGAAGTACATTAACCTCATAAAGGCTCTCTACTCGAGCACAACTGGTCGAGTTAGAGCCTATGGCAAACTGTCATCAGAATTGGTTATCTCAAGTGGTGTTCGTCAGGGCTGTCCACTCTCCCCATTCTTGTTTAACTTTGTCATTGACATGCTTTTAGAGATATCAGTTTCATCATCTCAATCTCCAGGTATTTTGTGATTTCGAAACCGTACTGAACTATCGTGTGCTGAACGTGTTTTGTTTTATGTGATTCGTATTTGCCTGAGCCATGTTTTCTCATGCAAATGATCATGGAGATTAAAAGACTTCTTCACTTGGTTGTCTTACATACCTTCTAATACTTTCAAGAATCCTGGACTACAGGACTACAGTAAGTCAGATCTCTTCTATTTCTACTCTAAAATATTGAATAGTAAATCGTCTGTTTATCTGCGTTTCATTGAAATCATGAACAGATCTAAGTTATACCTCTACTAGAAACTTGGAATCTCTGGAAAGTCGTTTCATATAGTAAAAAACTCCTCAAGAGTGTGAATCCATTTCCCTGATCCGTGGCCTGTCTGATTGAGGCTCAAGGAACTAACCAGGAACTACCACCCGTGTAGCCTGTGTAATGTTCCTCGGTATTGTCTAAATCAGAACATCTTTCTGACTTTTTTACTCTTCTGTTGTGATTGCTTCTTTATTTCAGAGAGACGCCATGGTCACAGTCATTTGATGGGGTCAACCACTGGTTATACGTCTTCCTCCATGGTTTAAATTGTCGCAACCAATGGGTACGATAAAACTATTTGATTCATTCGATCATCGTCATTTCTTACTTGTTTGTCTTTGAGTTATCAGATTCGAAGATATTTATTGCTGTTCAATTCTTGTCAAACAAAGAATCTTTAGTAGCTAACATGAAACGTTGTCGTATATGATCACTCTCATTGTAAAGAGCTATAATACAGAAGGGGCTAGATATTCCACACTTACTGAAGAATTGAAAGTTTCTATCCTGAATGGTGGACGATGTGTGAAGGCGAAAAATGTGGTAAATATACTGTTTGCTCTCTCGATGTACATTCAATGCTTCACATTTTCCCTCACATAGTCATAACAACTTTTATTGCTCTCATCGCTTCCATTCATTTCAATTTATTAGCCTATTTCCACTTCATTCCAACTTTTCATTTCCATTTCACTCTCTTTATTTTTCTCAATATTCTACTCAAACTCCGTTGTTGCAAGTTAAGTGACTGATCGATGATGCTTAACTAACAAGTAGCATTACAATCAGTCTTCTCACTTACCTTACTTGAAAATACAAATAATTCTGATCTACCTAAGACAACTGCAGCTGTGAAACAAAAAATATCAGAAGGTGCTTTTTTGACGTTGAGAGCAGGATTCGAGTTGGTGATCAGTTCATTATGATGGTATTTTGTTTCAATACTCAGAAATTTTAGTGTTTCAAAGGTCAGATTTGAGCACATTTTCAGATTATTAGCTCGATGTGACATATGTAGCATTTGATGGGTAATTGTGCAGGAAAGCACGTCTCTCCTCCTACTGCAGAACAAATTAGCGATGCTAATGAAATGCATAATCAGTGTGAGCTCTCCAAAAATGTCGTGAGAACAAGTTCACAACCTTTGGACTTATGTGATAGTTACAAATCTAATTCCTTAAAAGTTATTCACGAAGACGGACTAATAAACGAAGTCGTAATAACAAACGACCATGAAAAAGTTTCATCTTGCCTAACTCGTGAAAGGTTTTCTACTGGGAGGGATTTGTCTTTTGGAAGCAAGTCCAATCTATCGACTCCGAAAACTTCTCTTGTCAATGTTTTCGCAGGAAGTCATTGCAGTGAAAGTCTTCAGGAAACAGTTCTTTCCAGTAGTTATCATTTTCCGAGGTTGACTTTAGAGCAGATGACAAGAGACACAAGGATTCATCATTCTGGAATACGAAACAGTGCGAATTCCGATTACTTAGATAATAAGCATTCAGTAAGTCCAATTCACTGGTGCGTCTCCTCAAGCAAGCCATCAGATGAGATTACTATGCAGAAACTAAATTCACCGCATCGGAGTAATATTCATGTACAATCACATTCGCATTTACAACAACATTCCTCGTTGAATATTATGCCTTTCTTGGTTGGCAACAGGTATTCCCGAAGCGGCTGTGCAAGTGCCACTCGAAGTGCTATGGAATCCCCGCTCACAATCGATTCGGGGACTCACAAATCAGATAAACCGTATAGATCATCTGTCGTTGTCGACTCCAATCGTCTGAAGAATCTTGAGCAAAGTGGGGGAACAATTAGCACTGCTGCAACGATTTTTATGGAAAATGGTAGTTCGGATCATCATTCTTCTGTTGGTGGTCTTTCAACTCGTTATCTTGTTCATCAGCCTTATTTCCCCTCAAGTGCTGGCTCATCCAGTCGTCTTAGTTTGGGTTCGGTTGGTCCATGTATTAATTCAAAGAAGATCTACCCTCTTACGCAAGAAAACTCCCACAACAGTGAATATTATCACGTTGCCATTTTTGACTATGAAGCCCACACATCAGAGGAAGTTAGTGCACGAAAAGGTGATCAACTGCGAGTTCTGGACTTAAGGTATAAACTTATCACCATGTTTTATGTGTTACATACTTAGATTTAAACCTTTTATTTTTTAGAATAAAACTAGTGAATTCTGTTTAAATGAAAAATCGGTAACGCAAATGTTTTTGAATAGCTTTCATGAAAAATATCGATTGACTAGTGCAATCATAGTTTGGATACAAATAAAAGTAGCGTTTGGGATCGATACACAAATATCAAGCATCATGTTCTGATTTCTCATATTATTACAGTGTATAGTAGCTCTAAACTCTAGTTATCGGTCATACTTTGTGTTTTATAATGGAATCCATTCAAGGCTAAATAACCTCGAATTTTGTTCTGAAAATGATATTGATTATTCGTCAAGAGTTAATTACTTTTGTTGACATTGAATCATAAATATACCTCGGCTATTGTGAGTATACTGACTTGAACTATCATTTTGAACTTCTGAACCAGGACGTATGGTTGGAGTGTCAAATTTGACCCTAATAGTATTGTCCTAAATAAGTGAGTCTTTTTTCACTTTGAACGTGTTTCACTTCGTGAGCTGGTTTTCTTATTCATATAACCTTTCTTTCCATTTGCTTTTTCATGTCAAACTGGTAATCATACCTGATGCACAATGAAATTAATCTCTAGCTTGACATTTGCTTTGTACCAACGTTTTTATTTGTCAGACTTCGATCACATGTCTCCACAAATTATACATTTGGATGATTTAAGTCGTGTCTACTTGATAATTTACAAATAGAAGCCGACTTTTGTATGAGAAGCAGTATAACTGAACTGCTCAAAATAAGTATGAGACAGTGATCAATTTTCAATTATTTCTAGATAAATAAGTCTTATGTAATACATAAAATTGGATACAGTAATTTTTTGATAACTTCAAAATTCTGTCTGTATCACGCTGGAATAAATATAAAATCACACCTAAGTATTCAAACCATGGTCTTTTTTAAAGTGACCTGTTTTGTTTCCCCAAAAACGCTTTTAAGGTTTTTAAAAGGCCTCTATAATCCAAGTTTTTTACTACATTTTGTCGTGTTATGGTGATGCTATTGGACGAGGTTACTGATATTTAACGTTGGTACGCAAAATATGAATGAGATTCATTTGAACTGGTTGCCTATTTAGCATAGTCAATTTTTCATGTCTTGTTATTACTTTCCAGCCTCTCGGTCGAAACTATGTACCTAAATATAAGTAATATTTTTGTTTTGTCTAAATCCTTTTTATTGTTTTGGCTATAAATGTTTCCCTTACTTATCATAAACTTATCATGTGTATATATCTAACATGTTGGGAATCTTTGTTATTTAGTTATAAGATTATTTTTATATAATGAAAATCTTTAGAAGACTAAGTTTTGCTTTACTTTCTGAATCCTGTTTTTTAAAAAAAACTAAAGTACATAGCATGTGTTGAGTAGTGTTATTGATTGTGAGACTGACTAATGCCAAAAATATTTCATCAAAAACTCTAAGCACAACTTTAGCGTGCGCTGGTTTATGAGTAAATTTTCGTATCTGTGTTGGTGACAGATTTGCAAACAATATCATTTTAGATCATATAAGATATTAACTTTTCTTATATAATGTTGATATGTAAATGTTCATTACAATGATAACAGTCATATTCGTTACTAATGAAAAACTTGTTTGCAGTTTCCATTTCGGTTTATTTGATTGACATCTTATAGACAATGATTAATTTGTTATGTTTGAGTCACTACCAACCGTTACCAACTAGAATCCCTGTTTTCTGTGTGACCAATGACAGTAAAAAAATGGTATTTTCATCGTGTGGTCGATATTTTGTTGTTTACATTATCTCCAGACATAACAAGATCGATGATGACAAAAGACTAAAATGGCCGTATGCGTATAAGAGAAATGATGCTGGTTCTAGAAATGTACCCTGGTTGACTTCCCTATATACTGTTTCATAGTCAGACAGCTTGTAGTACTCTTTGTTTATGTTCAAGTCGGAAGTCGTTTACTCATAAAAGTGAATTTCTTCTGATTTCGATTTCTTAAACTTATATTCCAGTTTTTTTGTACTGGGCTTCGTCAAAAGGCAAGGTGACAAACTACATATATTGGGTACTTAGAATTTCTTGGTTTAAACCAAGCGACAATAAACATTTAGTAAGGCATTATTAACTTCAAATGTCTTGCTAAAAAGACTTGCGTTCTATCAGTGGTCTAGGATAAATTTCGTCTGAGTTCATTGATTTTTCTACATCAAGTCTACTTTGTAGTTCAAAAACGTCTATTTCTCTAATCATAGTTGTAGTCATATGGCAGATTAAACTATTTGACCGATGCTTTGAGGAGAGTCTATGGAGTATGTCTCTCGTCAAAATGGTCAGAAAATACTTTGGATTCGATAATGTCTTCTTCCACTAGTGATTATGTAGGACTTTCTTAATACAATGCTTGGATGTAGCGCTCCGGTTTGTCCTTCTGTTCATTTATGAAAACAACCACTTATGTGAAGCTGTTAAGTCAGTAATAAGTCTTTCTTCATAAAGTTTCCTAAACTTTCATGGAACCGATGCACGAATATTCCTAATTTCTGGGTATTTAATTCTAGCTTGATTGGAACCCAGTTACTCACGTCGCTTTTACATTCTTTCTCGAAGAAAGGATATTATTGGTTTTTTGTATCATGATGGGCTTTTTCTTAGCCTACATCTTATTGTCCAAGATACAAGATGCTGAGTAATTGTTGTGTACATTTTCAAACAATCTCCAAGCAGCATCTGTAAGAATGTATGGTTTGATAGACAGATCTATTGGTGATGATGCATATATAATTGCTTGAATATCTGTTTTCTTAACATTTAGTGTGGCCGGTTTAGACATGTAGTCAATGATAGCCATCTGGAAAGTATAGAATAATATTGCGTGACAAAGTTTACAGTGTGTTGACATATACTCGAAGGTAAGGGCAAGTGACTCATGATAAGTCAATATAAGGTCTAGAAACCATGATGCCTAATCTGGATTACTTATTGTCTTTCCATTTACACGCTAAACCAAAACAGATGTTATGTCAGTAGTAGTTCGGTTTTACTTGGATGACTTATTTAACAACTCTATCTCTTAGATTTTCCCAGTCTACAATAAGCGCATTAGAGCCCCACAACATTAAGCATAATCTAAAAGATCAAATATTATATTTGTCCAGAAGCGAAATCAACCGCCTTATAGTTTAGTCTGTCACCAACCAAACCAATAAAAAGTCCCTTTCTCTTACATTTCAGTAGCATCAATTTTAAGTAACATCAATATATATATATATATGCATCAAAAATATGTAAAGAAAAAGATCGCTTTGTGTGTCTTATGTAACCTGCACTCCAAAAACAAGTAAATGTATTAATACGTCAATGTGATCCAAAGCGGAAGCTTGTCCTTAATACCATCACAAACTAAAAGCTGACTAGAGGAGACAGTCAAGAGCACAAGGGAAAAATGCTTTACTAAAAGATGTTGAGAGCCTTTTCAAGGATTTTCAGTGAGGTATCCTGTTTGTATCCAATGTTTATGAACAGAGTCTTCTTATGTAATACAGAGAATGTTTTAAGTTGGTGTTCTTCCATCGATTCAGCGAACCGAACAAGATGGCCACTTTTGTTGAGTGTCTGAAAGGGTTCAGCTAGTTTGTCATCTATTGTTTTATCAGTTCATATTCGTCTGATCACCTAGGAAGAAGCCGAAATAAGTCACTCCGTACCCAAAGAGACAACTTTGAAAGGTTGTACCTTAGTTATTTCAAGTAAAGTTTCTATATATTTACTATTCTATGGAGACGCTTGGCCTTTTCTGTAAATCCTAGTTCGCTCCTAATTTCAGTACCAAGTTATTTTACTAGACACTTTCAAATTTTAGTTAAATTCACTAACATTCATATATCTCTCACATAAATGGTAACTTCCTGTTGTTGGTCAATAGATGGCCTTCTAGGAAAATTATTGTACTGAAATTAATTTTTCTGTCTAAATAGTGGTTTTATCAAGTAACGAACACAAATAAATCATCCGTCTGATGAAGTTCCTCTGTAATATCAAATAATTAGTTTTAGTTATCACGATACTCTGATTAACTGGGGTTTAATGTTTGTTGAGTGTTTCTACTTTATTTTACTACCTTTGTTGGTGAAGATTACCAGTTAATAATTTTGAATTTACAGGTGGAAGTATAGAATACTATTTGCACAGTTCATTTTGGTTAGTTACGGAGCCTTAAATATTTGGTATGGTTTTAGCCTAACCCGAAAATTAATGTTGGAAATAACGTTGAACTTATTTCTTTTACTTTACTTTTGAACGACTTATTTCCCGGTTTAGGTAAGGATTTCTCCATTGTTTCCATTGCTCTTTTCTCGTTGTGACTACTACTATTTTAACTACATACGTATATTATTAAAGGTTTGCGATCTATCAGTAATTATATTTAGGACTGCAATTGATCATTCGCTGTTTTTTTTATGTACATCCTGAGTGGATTGTCCGGAAGTACATAAATGACATATATATTACTTACTCCTGTTACCCCTCATGGAGGAGGCCTCCCATCAGCATTCTTCATCCAACTCTGTCCTGGAAAATCCTTCACAGTGTGAGTGTGTAGAGCATTTTCTTCTTTGTGACTAGAGTATATCACCATCTCTCCCGAATCTACCGTTGTCTGTCTGATTAAGGTACAGTGGGTTTCACTGATTCCGAAAACCGTCAAGTTGTATCTTCTCATTTCCGTAGACATTTGATTAATTCTCCCTGTCTATATCATTATCCGGACGTCCAATGTAGCTATGTTAATTGTTACCCTGGTTGTTAGAAGGGGCATCGGCTTAGCAACTTCCGAAGAATTTCTACTTTCATCATGAGGCGTACTAATTATTTCTTCAACTCCCAGGTCAGAGTTTAAATGGTTTAATATGTTTATTCTAGTTAAGTTCTTTTTTTAACAAGGTTGTTTTCTACGAGATTGGGTTGCTGG